CATGTCCCTTTTCAAAAACAAAAAGACAAAGTCACCTTTGAATTTCACTTGCCAGTTAATAATATACATGGAACAGCCATCCAAATTATTTTCTTTCTTTTTTTACCAGAGAATACTTGTTATTACTAGTATCACTTCTAAATGGTAGAACGTTTCACTGTTGTCTTCACAATAATCCTGGTAAGCAGGAGAAGCTCAGACACAAGGCTTTCTTCAGATCTTTCCAATGTAGGACACTCCTACATCTAAATCCAGCAACCTATGCAATGCGTCATGGCGGCTCTTTTATTTCTATGTACACCGCTGCTATCCCTCAAAAATCAATAAATTACAAATTAAAACCACATAGTCAAGAAAAGCCTGGTGTAGCCTGTTGTTGAGGCCACAGCCTGCCAGCTAAGGAATGAATCAATAAACAGGCAGTTAAGCAGATGAGAACAACATGGGTTTTTTGGGGGGGGGGGGTTTGAAGGAGAAGCAGAGATGTGTAGGACCGGATATCAGTGTGAAATCAGAACGGCATTTGTCATGACTCTAATGGCAGGATATAGTTTCAAATTCTCTGTCTTCCTCCCTCAGGACAGAATACGATCACTAATGGCATGTCCTCCTGGAGGCTTCTGGGTAGTGTGAGAAGCAGCACCTCCAAAATAAGAAGTGTGATTTTGCACACTCACATTACTCCTCCTTGTGTGCAGATTGCCTTGCAACTAGCTCATAACACCCTGAATCCAAAGAGTGGAAAGGCAGGCATTTGTATGGACTGAGCAAAATTATTATGAGTTTTGTAGCAATCAGGTATGCCTTTAAAAACTGACGTCCTCATTGAGATCAGGGTGAAAATATATGAACTGAGACCACAGTGCGAACGTAGGTGTATGATTGAAGCACTTTCCTTTGAAGCGTTAATATCATAATTGGAAGAAAATTAGTACATGAGCTGGCAACGTGAATTACAGTCTTTCTCTAATGTGACAAGAAAAGAGTCCATAACTCGCTTAATCTACAAATCTACATATGTTTCTTTGTGAAGGAGCAGGGTTGGGAGAGCTGTTAACTGCATGTGCTGCTGCTATCTTCCCTCCTTTCATTTCATGTACTGTGTCCTCTTCCTTAATTTCTTGTGGAAAGCTAGAACCTCTTTAAAGAGGAGCTAACCATCTGGCAATTGATTTGGGCAAGTGTTCTCCCCAACATCCCTCATCCAAACTTCCAAACTTCTCACCTTGCCCTCTACTCCTTCAGTGCCACAGTCTTTTGCATTTTGAAAATTGGTTAAAGGTAAAGGGACCCCTGACCATTAGATCCAGTCGTGGCCGACTCTGGGGTTGCGGCGCTCATCTCGCTTTATTGGCCGAGGGAGCCAGCGTACAGCTTCCGGGTCATGTGGCCAGCATGACTAAGCCGCTTCTAGCGAACCAGAGCAGCGCACAGAAACAGTGTTTACCTTCCTGCTGGAGCGGTACCTATTTATCTACTTGCACTTTGACGTTCTTTTGAACTGCTAGGTTGGTTAGGCGCAGACAAATCCCACCACTGCAAATTTCTATCCGGAGGGCAAATATTAAGTCACCACTGAGCTTGATCAATCATAGCTATGTAGGAATTCCATAGGAATATCTCAGAGCACTTCACCCCCTTCTTTTTTGCTCTCAAATGATGGCATTAAGTGCAGAGGTGACAAGCTTTCCTTGAGCAAATGCATTGGGCATTTTTTGTTTTAAGTGGCCCTCAATCCTGGGAAGCGTATTCTCATGCATACAAGAAAGGTATGTGCAAAAATGTGGGCCAAGACTAGTGCCAAGGCAGTGAGGAGGAAACTGGGCTGAAATGACAAGAAATGCAACAAGAGGAGCTAGTACAGGCACACCCTAACCATCCTTTGTTCCCATCAGCTTTCAAAGCGTGAGCCTTCCTTTTCACTCCAATGAATGTCTTCCCTTATTTAGTCAATTAAAGATCATTGTTACAGGAGACCCTCATCTGGCAAAAGCCTATCATATGCTGTAGTCCTCTAGTCCAAACAAAGGCTTTATCGTGCCTTTGCGCCTGTCATTTCCTACCACCACTATTGCTTCTATTGAAATCTGCTGGCAATTTACATTATGTATGCGGTTTTGGTTTTAATGAAGCGTTTCTTTTTCAGACAAAGCATCTGAAAAGCTTGTCTGTAGAAAACGCATATTGTATTCCGAAGTTGGAAAATAAAGAACTTCAACCTTACCGTTTGGAAGGCCCATAGGGACTGCTAACATTGCTACCAAATGTATAATTGCTTACAGAGATGAACTATAGAATTTGCTTGGATTTCTCACCTTCAGTTAAGTCTGACTTATCCCTTATCTCTTAGCAGCATCATATGATAAAACCCATTGAGTGTGAACCATGTCTATTTTATATTTTCCCACACAACATACACTAACATTTAATGAACTGATAATGCTGAAGATGATGAAGATGGGGACAGTAATGGTGTAGCAGCTTTAGGCTGCATACACACCAGACCTTTAAAGTACATTCAAAAACATCCCCCATTAATTCTGAGAACTGCAAGTCTCTTTGGGTTGTCTTGGAGTGACTAACAAATTTACTAAACAACAACAATAATAGCTTGCAACTCACAAACCACAATTCCCAGCACCCTTAACAAGGCAGGGGGTGAAAATGTATTTTGAATGAGCTGGTATGGGTGCAGCCATAGGGTTGGATTAGGACCTGGGAGAACAGGGTTCAAATCCCCACTCAGTCATGAAGCTCACTGGGTGACCTTGGGGCCAGTCACTGTCCCTCAGCCTGACCTACCTCACAGGGTTGTTATGTGGGTAAAATGGAGAGGGGGAGAACCATGTACTCAAGCTCCCTAGAGAAAAAGTGGGGTGTAAATGTAACAAATACATTTGGATGTTGTCTTCTATGTCTTTTGCAGAAGAACTTCCGTCTAGTGGCTATGGCTATGACTATCAGTAAAAGTTGTGTGTGCAGAATTCAGCTTCCTAAACAAATTAACCAGGAGAAAAGTAAGTTTCTGTACTTTGGCACTTACGAAGTTATACTTGAAAACGTGTGGCCAATGCCCAGAGAAACTGCAGAAACCAAAGGATTGCAGAACAAAACTTCCAGTGGTCAGGAATGAGGCTGCTACTCTTCCATGACTAGGCAGAAACACTATAACCTATCCTTCCCACCCACTATAAAGCAAAATGTGCAAAATCACACCGAATAAGAGGAGTTATGCCATTATGGTATATTTGCAAAATGAGTGTGTCACAGGATTAATTTTTTGCTAAGAAATTTGGGTTACATTGATGCAGGATTCTGATTTAAGTGCAGAATTTACACAGACCTGATCTGTTCTACTTGGATTTCTCTGATTATTTTTTTCATCATCTCTTGCGATTTCATCCTGCCAAACATACTGGATTATGTCTTAAATGCAGAAGGTCTGTGGGGTCGGGTATCACTTCAGAGTAAAAAAAGGGCAACGAAAGGTCTTGTTCTTGGAAATTCTGGCAACGGATACCATTTTACTCTTATGATATGATTCTGGTAATCTCCGCAGATACTTCCCATTCGCTTTTCAGATCAGTGCATCAGATACCCACAAGACAGATGGCATTCATGCACCACAATAACTCCCCTGCAGTCCACACAGCAGTTTAGGTACCTTGCAAGTTTGGTGGGCAGAACGATGAACCTGCGCACTTTCACCTCTGAGAACTTGGTTAACTCCCTGCCCAGAAATAAAACGCATGTGAGACTGTTCCCGTCCCCATCCCCCCCAGTGACTGCACCACTTTAGAAAACAGGTGCGGGGCTGTCATGTTTAAATGCTTCTCCATGTCAATAACTTTATACAAACAGAAAGCTTTGATTTGAGGAAGAAAATTGTATGCCAACTTTCTCTCTTTAACATGATTGTCCTTAACGCTCAGGAAGTTTCTGCTGCAAGGGAATACATCTCCAGTATTATTTAGTGGTAATGTGATGGAAGGACTGTACCACATGCCTCCGGTATTATGTAGTGATGTCATGGAAGGACTATACCACAGCACCTTTTCTGAATGTTTGCACTGATTACCAATTATTTCAGTTTCCCATCTGTAAAGCAGGCACCATAGTCTTTTTGTTATTCCTAAAGGACAGGAAATATAATGCAAGAGACGACCATTTCTCGTGTGACAAATTCTCTGGACAATAGCTACTTACCTGCAGAAATGGTGTGAACCCCAATACATATCTATTTTGCCAGATGTACACATGGTGATATGAAAGTGTGTACATTTATCATACATTATAAACTCCATATGAGTTATTGCTACACAGAACTAGCCTTTGTTTAGAAAACGTTTGATACCATCCCTATTGACTGCCCTGAGACCTGTGGGTATAAGGCGGTATACAAATTTAATTAATGATGATGATGGAATGGGAGCACCCTTACAAAGCTGACATTCATTTCAATGGGGCTGATGCAGAATAAACTCCTGGTGAACTATGCCCTTCGTTTTGTCTGATGAGGCCTCGAGAAACATACTTTTGTTCGGACCAGCAACTAATCTCTGAAACACAGCGCTCAAGTTGCTTGTCTGGAAACTCCCATTCAGCACCACAACCTTCTGGTTAGGAAGAGACCTGTACAATTCAAAAGCCCACATCTTGCATCTTACACCAGTATGGGACCAAAACAAAAACAAAAAACCCTAACAGCTTCAGGTAAAGTCTCCCTTCTGTGTTTCAAGCGCCAATTTGGACCATTTTCTGCTTCAGCAATACAACAGGCTGTGTCAAAAATAACATCTACGGGCACAATCCAAAAGTTAAGCCCGTCCAAGTCCTATGGGTTTCATTCAGCGCCAAAGATTTAAAACACGCGTATTTCTATCACCGAAACAATGCAACTTTAAAGGTGCTTTGCTCTCTACCCATCGAGCCCTATAATCAAATAAATCCAACTTAGGAACCATAGGAAAACAAAAGCCTGCTGCTACTTTCTCTTCCTACAAAACTTCGCGAGCCGCTTGGGAATTGGGGGGTATCTCTCTCTCTCTAAAGGAAGGAAAGCCCCTTGTCCTGCTTTCCCAGCATCAGGATGCGCCATCAGGCTTGGCTCCTTCCCTCCCGACTCATCCGAGAAGCTAGAAACCCATCAGCGCGCAGCACAAAAGGACTCGTCCGCGACCGAGAAACAAAAGAGCGTGAAAAGCGGCAGAAAGAAGACTAGGGCGCAGCCGGCCGGGGAAGCCCCGCGTGGCAGCGCGCGGGAGGCGCGGCTCGGGCGCGAGATGTCTCGCCTCCTCCTCCTCCTCCTCCTTACCCGGACGCGGGATCCTCGCAGCCTCTTTCCAAGGAAGGGCCGGCTCCGGGAAGCCTTTGTCCCGAAAGGGACTTCGAGGCAGCCGGCGGCAGGAGCAGCAGCAGCCTGGGGACCATCCACTCCGCCTCGCCGTCTTTTGCTGAGGAAAGCTGCTGGAAAGGTTCCCCCTCTGAGGCGCGGGGTGTGCGAGGTCAGGCGGGAGGGCGCGCCCTGGGGACGAGGAAAGGAGTCCCTCCTCCTCCTCCACCTCTCTCCGGCTTCCCCTCAGAAGACGCGCGCTCCTTTCCTTGGCCGGGGTTCCTGGAGCACTTCCCCAGCGGCCCGGCCGCGACGTGCGCTTCAGGGGGAGCCCGCGGCGAGGCCGGGGAGAAGCGCTGCCTCCGGCGAGGGAGAGTTGCAAAGTGTTCGCAAAGTCGCTGCATCCCCTCCCGGCTCCGGCTGCTCCCGCCCTCGCTCCCTCAGCTTTTGCAGGCGGAGGGGGAGACAGGCAGCGGGAGAGAGAGAGAGAGAGAGAGCCCAGCTCCACCCCGCCGCCGCCCCCCTCCTCCCCACTTCGCTCCTTCTTGCGCGCGCTCTCCCTTCCCACCCTCCCTCTCCAGGGAGTAGCCGGCTAACAAGGACCCTTCTGTTGGCTTTGTCCAAGACCCTCGCCGACAAAATATGCGGCTACGTTGCTGGGGCGCTTGCGTGCTGCGGGCGGGAGCGAGGAGCCGCGCTGCACGAGGGGTGCTTTGGGGTTGCTGGGTTTTTGTGCGGAGCCGGAGAGAAAAGGCGCCACTTTCATCCTGCCCGTGAGTTGTGGGTGTGTATCTGTGGGCCGCCGCTGTCCAAAAGTGCACCTCCAGGCGTGGGGTGGCGGGGAATGATTGACAGCAGACCTTGCCGGGAAGGGTGTGATTCAGGGAAAGGAGCTCGGCAGGCTTGTAGTACGTAGTGTCAGGGTTCGGCCCTTCACTTGCAAGCCTCTGGTGTAGGGATGGACGCCGCCTGGAGCACAAGAAGCCCTTTAATGATACCGTCAGGAGTCCACAGGTTGAGTGGGAGCTGGAACTGGAGCTGGAAGCATGCACTAGTGCTCAGATGCCGGGAAATGCTTGCAAAAAGCGATGCCAAATGCAATGGCCAAAGATGTGCGAAAGGCATCCCCAGAGGGCACGTTTCAAATGAGAGGCACTTCCATGGAACTATGAACAGGAAGCCTTTTTTACGGCAGAAATACCGGCAGCCAGGGCTAAAGCAGCACTCGCACAAAATTTGCTTTTGTGTGAGTTGTCGTAAACTTGAGAGCATCCCCACGCGCCCTGAAAACAGTTGTACCATGCTGGGTTTGCTGTGCGTGGTGGTCTTCTACATAGTCTTTACTCCTCATACAGCACATCGTGGCTGGTGTTCTTAGGAAGCTGGCATATCAAGGCAAGGGATTGCCCCAGAGACGTTATGCATGGAGATGCTCTACCATTGAGCTGAGGTCTTCCTCCCATGCATTGATTAGCCACAGCCACCCAGTTTCCTAAGGTGCATACACACAGTGAAAAAGCTATGTGGCAGGTCATGTTAAGATATAAACTCTTGCACCACTCACCACTGGCTGCCACACCTAATGGCATGTCACCTCCAATCTGCAGTTTTACAGTGTTTCTTACACAGCTTCTGTGTACAATCCACAGGAAGCAGGTTTGATGTGTGTGTGCTATGAGGAAGTTTAACAGGATGCATCCCTCTACTCAGGAGTCACCAACATGGGGCCCACCAGCCACATAGGTACCTGCAAATGCCTTCCCTGGGACCCCAGAATCTCTCCCCCACCCATGTTGAAATTCAGCTTAGAAGAACCATTACAATAGTGGTGTGTTCTTGGATGCAGTGTGTGTGTGTGTGTGTGTGTGTGTAGATATGTCCACAGGCCCCAAAGCTTGGCACCCCCTGCCCTGCACGCTCATTCCACCGTGGTTATTTCTGGCTACATCTTGCCTTGCATTTTCTGGAAGTGACTAAGCAGCTTTCTTGTGGTGATTCTTCAGGGCAAGGGGCCTAACTTTGCCCATATGCATTACATCCCATACTTACCCAGTATTCCTTCCTCTACTAATCCCAATCTTTCATTGGCTTTGCCTTCATGCATTAAGAAAACTGATCCACCTTCCACTGCTGCCTTTGCAAAGGCTTCCCTGATCATCTTTCACCTTCTTCACCCTAGGGACCAAGCATCCATTTACAGATGCATGAGGGCTTGTGTGTACACAGCAGGACTTTCAATTTTTTTTCCTTTTACAAAGCATTGCCAGCCATCTTTTTGAATGTCCTCTACTTGCCAAAGCGGCAATTTATGTGGCAAAGGAAGATAGGGCTTCTGTTGGGAGGGAGCTGTTCTACATGTACAGTATAGACCTAGTAGTTGGGGAGGGGTTGTATCTTTAGTGCGGGACACATCACATTCCTGCTGGGGGTAGTTTGTCCACCTTTGGTCCCCATCCTGTGCTCAGCTCTCACCTGCATCTCCTAAAAGCAATCAGCATGCAACAGTGGTCACACACCCGGAACGGCTTCATATGGCTGGCTAAACCAGGTGAGGGTAGCTAATGGGTCTCAAACCCTTGCTGAGTTAGGGACTTCCCCTGCATGTGAAGACAGACTCTGGTGGATTGCACTTGCTTGTAGAAGAAAGTGAGGGCAGATGGTGCTTGTCAACCTGGGAAGGTAGCCCATCTCAGAGAAGGAAAACTCTGATCCTAAGCCTCTACTGCCTTGTTTAAGAACATATACCCAAGTTTGCTTGTTTTCCTCTGCCCTCCCCATCCCTTGTTCCTTATGTGGCATCTTTTTTTAGATTGCAAACCTGGTGGCACTTTAGGACACTCTGGGAGCTTTGTTGTTGTTGTTGAAACATCCGTGGAAAATGCTTTAAATTTAATGAATTATAAATACTATGTGCTAAACAGTTACTACTCACACATATGTGTATCTGCACCAATGCATCCCTAGATAAATGTGTCTGGACTGCATGATATCCCCAGTTGCAGATTTTTTCCACTATCCTTTAAGCACCAAAATGGCTCTGTCTGAAAATGGTATTTCCAAAGTAATCAGGCTCTAGTAGATGAGCCATGGCTTTGAACTACTCAGTCTTTCCATATTTTCCAATCATCTGCCTTTGGCAGCTTTTTTGTCATCCATCCCTCAAGCCTCACCCTTTGCCACAGGCTTGAAACAGTGGGGGTTTTTTTTGTTTTTAACAGCATAGCACAGGCTCAGATATAAGAATAATAGTAATCCCCCGCTGGTTTAGCAAGAGGTCAACAAATTCAATTTCTCGCCCTAGCATCAATTTTAAATTGGTTCCTGGCTCGCAACCACAGGAGCCTGCCAGACTGATGGAACCATAGGTGTAATGTGACTTCTGAGGTTGCTGCACCTCTGAGCGGGATTTTCTTCTTTCTTTGAGTTCTTGAGAAAATGGAGTTGGTTGTTGCATGCTACTACAGTCGCACAATGCCGTCTGTGCAACATGAATTTAAAAGGATGCAAATGAGTTATGGCTGTCGTGTCACACAAAAGAGGAATTGTGTACATTTTGAATAAGTTGCAGGTTTGCAGGTAATGTGCAGGACCCCAAATGTTTATTGTTGGTGCAATGGTTTTGTGCCTTGTTCCTTGAAATTGTTTTATATTGCTGTATCTTGTCAAATAGTTGTTTATTTCCTTGACATCTGCATGGCGGTAACATGTTTCTGTCATAACCAAAAAGTGATTTGTTCAAGCTGATTTAGCCTTGCTCGTTGTGTCACCCTTCTAAGTTCTTACCAGAAGCACAGTTAAGAAGTAGCATAAAGAGGGGTGATGAAATCTCCTGAGCTAAGAAGATCGTGCCATCTTCTGATCGCTGGTTCCTTTAGGTGTAGTCCTCGCATTGAAAATCTTGAGCAAACTCTGATTTTAAAGCATAAGCCTTCATTGCAGAAATGCTTTTGCTTATGTTCCTGGCAGCTCTGGGCTCAGAGCACACGAGATTAAGTTATGAGCCCGTGGCTCCTTTCCTTGTCATGTGAAAAAAGGTCTGCAAGTACTGGGAGCTGGAACTGGAAACATGTCAAGCCCTTGGAAAGGGGAGTTGTTGGGCTTCCAAATAGAGGATACAGAACTCACATCTAGCTTTGGAAAGACATGAAAAAAAAATTCCCCTAAGGCTGTGACGTTTTTATGCATAGAAAACAGTATTCCACATCATGTTTGGAGGTTTTATGGCTCCCCCTGAGCTTCATATTGTTAGATTCAAGGCAGAATCATATTAGCAGAAGCAGCTGGATTTCCAGTTGGAGAGTGGCATTTTGTTTCTCTAAATCACCCCAACAAATATGATTATATCCTTAAGGTACTTAATATTTTCTGGCATAATCTTGTGTTTCTAAAACAGCCATAGTGAAATGGTGTGAACTAATTACGATGGCTTTTGATTACCGCTTAGCTCATTAATTAATGGTTTTCCACCATTGTCGTTGAAACTAGCATACCGAAGCAAATAGACACAGATTACGCATGCAGATCATAAGCTGCATGACCAAAAAAGCATGCTGGTGATGCGGGTATTGGGACAGTCGTTTAGTCCAGCTGCTGGTTTGTCTGCCCCACAACCCCTAAATCCTAGTCTGTGGTAGCTGCTTGAGTTTGAACCGAACTTTCTGTGCTGCTCAATAAAGAGGACACTTACAAGGGACATTTTCAGATCTCTATGCTTTTTTAAAAAACAACAACATTTCCACGTTGACAATGGTTCACCGTATATCTAATGCAAGATGTTCAAAAGTGTTGAGCAAGGTGGGGAATGCAAGCAGCCTTCTGCTCAGGCACCAGGCCTCTTCTGCCTCTTTGCTGCCACTGCAGCCCTTTGTGCCCCTCCCCAAGCAACTTCTGATGGGCAGAGGGACAGACTGGCTTGAGGCGGGGGAAAAGGGATTGCAGCTGGAGAGGGACTGTCAGAAATCAGAGGTATCCCACCTGCGCGTGTGAAGGTGCCTTCCACTCTTACAAAGGGCTCTCTAGATCCTGATGTCAGCAGGCTCACCTGATGTCGAGAAGGCATCTTTAGCTCCGAGCCTCCTATCATATCCTTTCCCCTGCATTCCTTTGTTGTTTTTCTTCTCTCCACACCCTCCTTGCACTGTGTTCTCTTTGTGGGATTTGCAAAATGTGTTGCATTCGTTGCTTTAAATTACGCAGTTTTTATTGGAAAGCTCAATTTTGTTCACAAACAAGGTTAAACTCTACATGCGCATCCAGGTAATGAAATGGGCATATAATTAACTATGCATGTACGTACATCGAAGTTGTGCCACGTTTATATTTGCTGGGATTGTGCTCAGTATAAATTTCCTTTGTGTGACATGACCAAGGTGCTAGCAAATGGGTTAATTTAAATAGATAATGAATAATAAATACCATTTCCCCCTCTGGGAGTGGTGGTAAACCTCTATTTGTCCCCTTCAGTTCAAAAAAATATCCAAAAGGCATATTAACCTGCAAGGGAAATAGATGTGTTGAACAAAGAAGCTGTCTTACACTGAGTCTCAACATTGCCCTGTCTCAGGGACGGGAAACCTGTGGCCACTGGAAGAGGAAGAGGAGTGCGGGGGGAGCGCACCACCCCTGGCAGCGCAATCCTGGTGGGGTGCCATTGCGGCTGCCTCCCTGCCCGCGCTGGGTGCCACAACCCCACAGGCGGCATGCCACGCCCCCAGGATACATGCCAGCCCCGCCCCGCCTGTTCTCCACCCCCTGGTGCTGGAACATGAAGTTCCGCCACTACCT